GCTCTAAGAGGTCCACAAGTGACTGAAAGGGGAAAAATAAGCACTTCTATTATCAAAAACCTCTATATATCTCTCGCTTTAAAGATTATATAGGCCTTCAAGTACTTTACAGTCAGTTTTTTTTCCTTTGAAAACTTTTTTGCCATTGGTATCAAAGGTATTACTTGATTTTTCTTAATCATTAGAAGTCAAGTTTTTGAGTAAAGAGATTTGTAAACAAAAGAAAAAGGGTGTATGTAACTCTTGAGGCTATATTTCAAGTTGTTTTAAAGAAAGTATTAAGACTTTATTAGCAAATAAGTATAAAAACTTTATTCAAACATCTTTTTTGTATGTGGTCAGAGAATCAGTGAAAAGAGTTTTTTTGTTAATATTGATTCTCTTAATTTTAATATAATTTAAATTTTATATATTATATATATATTTTTTTAAAGTTTAAATAAATTATACTACTATTATTAATATATAATATATTTTTTTGTTGACAATTTTGTTCATAAAAAACTTTATATATATCTTTTATAAAAGATTATATAGTTATAGTTCTCTTTAATATAAAAAAAAAATTTTTTTTTCACAGATTCCTAACTATCACTTTTAAAAAACTATTTCTTTAAAACTTTTCTTAAAAATACTAGCTTTATTTGTAGTAGTTATATTTTACCTTTCTTGTTTATTTTTTTTTTTCAAAAACCCTTTACTTAAGAAGTTAATGGTAAGAAAGCTTTTTTAGAAAAAAGAAACAACATAAAAAAATACTTTATTTCTTTTTTCTATAGAGGTTTCAAAGTCTAGAAAGAAGTATAAGTCAATAACTTTATACCAACCTAAAAAATTAACATCACTACTATAGATAAAAATGGTTTTTCTCTTAGTATATAACAGTTTTTCTTAATTTTTTTAGAAAATTTTATCTGCTTTAGCTTGACACTAAATTTTTTATTATACTAGATTTTAGATGAATTGATTAATAAAAGATTAAATTAATTACTATATGGTTAACAGAAATATAAACAAGAATATATATGATATATGATATAAATATATTTTCTAAATTCTATAAAAACCTTAGGTCTATTATAAGTCATATAGTTCCAGTTATATAGATGGATAAATATTATATAGACTAAGATCTCCTCTTTTTTATCATTTTTTAAAAGTGTCATAGCTATGAAATAAATATTCTTCTTACTGGAATAGAATTTCAAGAACTCATTCTAATTATAAAAAACACAATCATTTCTTTATTTCAGAATTATTTCAAGGTTTTTTTATTCTAATTCAAATGATTTTTTTACTCTTGTATAATATATAATACTATTGAACTCATACTTTTTCTTTGAACATACTCAATATTAGTAACAAAATATAATCACTAGGATCATAAGAAAGGTATACTTCCCTTTTCAAGAAACTAGTAAGTCAACTATGACAAATTAGTTATAAGGGATCTAAAAGGATTGAAAGTCTAATAAAAGGTGTCTAGTTTTTTTTAAATAATTCAATTGAATATCTTTAGACAATAAGTTATATAGTAAATCCATTAAAGGTTGGGTTTTAGGGAGTTTAGTAATATAAATAATATATGGCTTCATGTACAGTAATAACCTTTGTAATCTTTGTATTAATTTGTATATTACTTTATCAAAGTTAATAAACATAGTTGAGCTTCTATTTCAAAAAAAAAATAGTTTTCTTTAATGTATTATTAAGTTTGAGTTGTCTTGTTTTTTTAAAAAAATTTCAAGGAGAATCAACATCTTTTCAAATTTCTAATACTTATCTATGAATTAAAAAGAAATTAAAAAATATATTTATCTTATATAAATGTCTGATATAAAAATTATAATAATACAGTATCTCGAAAATTTATTGAATATCTACTATCTTATTATTATAAAGATTTGCATAAATCACATGTTATAACGTGATAGACAAAAGCCTGATCCGGAAATTTCACCGGATAGAACTGCATAACAAACAATGCACCATTTGTCTTTCATAATGAGCGTATGCGTTCAACCAAGAATTTCACGTCACGAAAAAAAAAAACACGTATTAAACGGCTTTTTCAAGATATTATATATAGTTATCGCGAAGAGGTGCATTGTGTGATTAAAACAAATGTCAGATAACAAAGAGATATTCCTTTTTTGGAAATATCAGATAACAAGAGATATTCCTTTTTAAAAGAAATTCTTCGATGATAGGTAAATTGTTTCTAATCACAATGTACCGCGCATTATCTTATCAATTTAATCGATACAACTGTAATTAAAGATCGACAGATAAACCATATTGGTGGATTTTTCCGAATTATGTTTTATTTGCATGCTACAGTAATTAAAAAAACGTTGACTCTATTAAGGTAAATGGTAAAGATAACAAGGTCGTTATAAATTAAGAATGCGTGTAAATATTGATAGGCTATCAATGTTAATCAATGAGAAAAGAACAATTGGTTTACGTTACAAGGGATCATGAAAATGACATGATGAACGCTGATTATGTATCATGATATCCACGATAGAAAAAAAAAATTTTTCCACTACATGATCCTTTCATGATTTTAGTTTAAATACACCTTGATTTGCGGTTGAACTTTTTCCTTTATTCAGACATGCCGCCGAATGAACAAATAATCCACGAACAAGAATGTAAATCCACCGTGGTGGTCGTTGGTCTTGGTATGGTGGGGTTATATTTTATAGAGAAATTGCTCAACTATGACGTGGAACAAAACTTTAGAATTGTGGCTTTTTGTGAAGAAACGAGAGGTATGTATGAATACAAAGAAATTTATATAAATTAACTTTAATTGATACTAAAATCGACACGCGTACTTTTATTTTACTTCAAAAACAGTGGCTTATAATAGAGTCGGACTGACTCAGTATTTTACACATCGTTCGGAAGAAAGATTACTTTTGCAACCTCCATCTTGGTATGAAGATAAAGGGGTAACAATTCACGTTGGCGATAGAGCCGTCCACATCGATCGATCAAAAAAAGTCGTTCATTCATCCAAAGGTTTGGCCATTCCGTATGACAGCTGTATTCTTGCCACTGGTTCTTACGCGTGGTTACCTCCATTGCCAAATGTTGATAAGCCTGGTGTATTCGTTTACCGTACTTTGGACGATTTGGACAGTATCATCGAGTATAGCAAGACTGCAAAACGTTCGGCCGTGATTGGTGGCGGTCTACTTGGTCTCGAGGCCGCGAAGGCGTTACATGATTTAAACTTGGAAGTTACCATCATCGAACGAAACCCCTTGCTAATGCCAAGGCAATTGGATCTGCCTGGTGGAGAGATTTTACTTCGGGAAATCAGCAAATTGGGAATCAAAAGTTCGCTCAGTTTACCGCCTAAGGAAATATTGATTGAAGAAAATGGAAAGACGAAAGGAATATTATTCAATGATGGTTCAGTGGTGGATTTTGACATGGTGGTCGTCGCTGCGGGAATTAGACCACGTGACGAGATCGCCAAATCTTCGGGAATTACAACTCATCCAAAGGGTGGCGTCTTTGTAGATGATCGACTGCAAACGAATGACCCCGATATTTATGCAATTGGTGAAGTTGCATTACACGCTGGTACCGTTTATGGCCTTGTTGCTCCCGGTTATGATATGGCCGATGTTGTGGCATCAAACCTAACCGCGAAAAATCAGAATAGGAAATTCATGGGAGGGGATTTGTCTTGTAAGCTTAAGCTTCTTGGAGTTCACGTCGCAAGCTTTGGCGATTACTTTTGCAGCGAAGATATATCGATGCCTTTGGTGTACAAAGATCCATTTGGTTCGATTTACAAGAAATATATATTCTCCAAGGATGGAAAACACCTTCTGGGCGGAATTATGGTTGGTGATACAGAGGATTACACAAAGCTTCATGCTCTTTGCAAGTCAAAGAAACCCCTGACAATGTCCCCTGGAGAACTTATCCTAGGCGTAAAATCTAGTCAGGCGCCTGGGGCAGATGACCTACCTGACGAGGCTCAAATCTGGTGTGAATCAGTACCATCTGTTGTTGTTTTATTTGTTGTTTTTTAACAAGTCTATTTTGCTTTTTAAGCTCCTGTAACAATGTATCGAAAGGTCAAATACGGGCGGCTGTTAGAACAAAAAATTGTCGTTCCATCGGTGAGGTCAAATCCTGTACGAAAGCTGGTACAGGTTGCGCTGGATGTATTCCCCTTGTGACCGAAATCTTGGGAGCAGAATTGAAATCAATGGGTCAAAAGGTGACACAAAGCTTGTGTCCACATTTTGAAATGACTCGTGCTGAGCTCTTCCAGGTTGTCAAGATCAAAAAATTGAAAAAATTCAAAGAGATAATCAGTGTTGTTGGTAAAGGAGCGAACGGATGCGAAGTATGCAAACCAGCTGTGGCCTCAATTCTAGCTAGTTTATGGAATGAACCCATTCTTGATCATGCCAACCTCCAAGACACGAATGATCGTTATCTTGCCAACATTCAGCGTGGCGGTTCGTATTCTGTCGTGCCCCGTGTACCAGGTGGCGAGATAACACCTGAAAAATTAATTGCATTAGGTCAAGTAGCTAAGAAATATGGACTATATACTAAGATTACGGGCGGACAAAGAGTTGACCTCTTCGGTGCAAAAAAATATGATCTCCCTGATATTTGGGAGGAACTAAATAAGGCAGGATTTGAATCGGGTCACGCTTATGGTAAAGCTTTAAGGACTGTAAAATCTTGTGTTGGTTCTACTTGGTGCAGATACGGAATCGGCGATTCAGTGGGATTTGCTATTCAAATTGAGAACCGTTATCGAGGCATTAGGTCACCGCACAAACTTAAAGGTGGAGTATCAGGGTGCATTAGGGAATGTGCTGAAGCACAAGGGAAGGATTTCGGGCTAATTGCCACAGACAAAGGTTATAACATTTACGTTTGTGGAAATGGTGGATCGAAGCCTAAACATGCAGTTCTATTAGCAAAAGATGTTCCCGAAGAGTTATGCATCAAGTATTTGGATCGATTTTTGATGTACTACATTCATACAGCGGACAGACTGACGCGCACAGCGAGATGGCTTGAAAAAATGGAAGGTGGCATCGATGTAAGTTGTCGATTTTTATGGAATATTTTCATGCTTTAACTGGAAACTTCAGCCAAAAAATCATTAACCTTTTATTGTAATTTGTAAACAACAGTACCTTCGTTCAGTTATTATTGATGACAAACTTGGGATATGCAAAGATTTGGAAGAAGATATGGCACGATTAGTTAACACATATCAAGACGAATGGGCAGAAGTTATTAACAATCCTGTCCGGCGTAATCAATTTAAGCAGTTCGTTAACACAACAGAGACTCAAATAGAAATTGAAGACATGGAAGAACGCGGTCAACGCCGTCCTGCAGATTGGCCCAAGGCATTTCCAATGGTACCTCAGCAGCCGAGCACAGACCTGAAACAAGAATCATGGGTCAATATTGCCCCTGTGGAATCGTTCCCTGAGGACGGCGGACAAGTCATCAAGTACGGTGATACCCAGATTGCAATATTTAATACCGACGGGCGTAAAAATTGGTATGCCACCCAAAATATGTGTCCGCACAAGAGAGCGTTTGTACTTTCAACCGGCATAATTGGTGACGACGAGAATGGAGTTTTACATGTCAGCTGTCCGATGCACAAAAAGAATTTTGCTCTCGAAACCGGGGAGTGTATATCAGGAGATGTTGGGCTAAAACTCATGACATTTGAGGTTAAAATCGAGGAAAATCATGTTTGGTTAAATCTTCCCCCATCCAATGAACTTGATCGACTACTTGGAACGAGCAAATGGATTGTGACCAAGAGTTTAACGAAAAAGGGTGCTACTAAAAATAGTAGCGGGGTACAATTTGTTGGAAACGCAATTCCTTGCGGTGGCGCCGGGTGTGGTGACAAGAATCTTGATTGGTAGGTTTATATATAATATCAGTATTAACTGAAGTTTCATGTTTTACAAAATTCCTTCGCCAATAAAAAAC